ACATATTCCAGGACATGGACATAGATGGAGAAAATTGTACAACCAGAAAGACTGGTTTTATTTAAAAATTGTCTCAATCTCTTAGCACTGACAGTCCTACTCTCTGATATGTCTGTTTCATATCTACTTTCTCTTCATCCCTCCTGCCCCATATACTTTCTACCCTCACCACCCACTTGATAATCTAATCCAGTGGTTCTTAAAGTGTGGTACCTAGACCAGTAGCATGAACCTCATCTGGGAACTTGTTAGAAACGAAAATTCTGAAGTCGTACTTAAGACCTACCAAGTCAGAAACTCTGGTGATGGGGCCCAGCAATTTGTGTTTTAACAAGTCTTGCAAATTGATTCTGATGTCTGCAAAAGTTTGAGAACTACTGATCTAACCCCATACTTCATTGAGAAGCCATTCTCTAGAATGTAAGCTCCAGAGATGGGTTATTTTTGTTTTTTGTTTTTGTTTTTGTTAAAGATTTTATTTATTTATTTAATTGACAGAGGGAGAGAGACAGCGAGAGAGGGAACACAAGCAGGGGGAGGGTCAGAGGGAGAAGCAGGCTTCCCGCCGAGCAGGGAGCCCGATGCGGGGCTCGATCCCAGGACCCTGAGATCATGACCTGAGCCGAAGGCAGTCGCTCAACCAACTGAGCCACTCAGGCGCCCCTGTTTGTTTTTGTTTTGAGAGTATATTTGACATACAGTGTTAGTTAGTTTCAGGTAAACCACACAGTGAGTCAACAATTATACATTAAGAAAAGCTCGCCACATATAGTAACCATACAAATTTAGTACAATATTATTGACTGTATTCCCAATGCTGTACTTTTCATCTCCGTGACTTATTTTATAACTGGGAGTTTGTACCTTTTAATCCCCTTCACCTATTTTCCCCACCTCCCTCTCAACTGGCAACCACTAGTTTGTTCTTTGTATTTATGTCATTTCTGTTGTTTGTTCATTTGTTTTTTGGATCCCACATATAAGTGATATCATATGGTCCTTTTTTTGACTTATTTCACTTAGGTCCATCCATGTTATCATGAATGGCAGGATTTCATTCTTTTTTATAGCTAGTATTCCATTGTATATATACCACATCTTCTTTTTTTAAATTTTTTGTTATGTTAATCACCATACATTACATCGTTAGTTTTTGATGTGATGTTCCATGATTCATTGTTTGTGCATAACACCCAGTGCTCCACGCAGAACGTGCCCTCTTTAATACCCATCACCAGGCTAACCCGTCCCCCCACCCCCCTCCCCTCTATATACCACATCTTCTTTATCCTTTCATCTGTGGACAAACATTTAGGTTGTTTCCTTATGTTGGCTGTTGTAAATAGTGCTGCAACAAACATAAGGGTGCATGTATCTTTTTGAACTAGTGTTTTGGTTTTCTTTGGGTAAATACCCAGAGGTGGAATTACTAGGTTGTATGATATCTCTAATTTTTGGAGGAACCTCCATGCTGTGTTCTATAGCGGCTGCACCAATTTACATTCTCACCAACAGTGTATGAGGAAGGGTTCCAAAGGCAGGAGTTTTTGTCTTTTATGGTCATTTATATCCTGAGCACCAGAACTGTGCCTGGAACACTGTAAGCCTCAATAAGTTATTGTTGACTCAAACCTTTAGATGGGAACTCTCTTACTTTCCTACTAAGAAATCTAGAAACGTACCTGCATCTGTACCCATTTTCTTCCTTTCTTTTCCAACTGGTGAAATATGCCTCATGCTATCAAAGGTCAGCAATTTCCAGATATGTTTTGGATCTGTTCTCTTCTTGCCTTCTCAGGAACTTCACTCCTTTGGTCATCCCCTGTCTCCTGCATTATCTATCAGTCTTTCTCTACTAGATTATTTCATTTAGTATACAGATTCTACACCATTCTAAAATAAGAACAAGCTGTCCCTGTCCTCAAATGACCTTTTACTTACTGCCACATCTCCTTGCCTCCCACTTCCTGTTCTAGTCTTATTTTCACCTCCACGAGTCAATGGTTCTTAACAAAGTCAATGATTTTTTAAACATCTTTATTGAGATATAATTCACATAGCATAAAAATTACCCATTTATTTATTTTTTGAGATTTTTTATTTATTTGACAGAGAGAGACACAGCGAGAGAGGGAACACAAGCAGGGGGAGTGGGAGAGGGAGAAGCAGGCTTCCCGCGGTGCAGGGAGCCCGATGCGGGGCTCGATCCCAGGACCCTGGGATCATGACCTGAACTGAAGGCAGACGCTCAACGACTGAGCCACCCAGGCGCCCCAAATGTTACCCATTGAAAGTATACAATTCGGGGGTTTTAGTACATTCATAATTGTTTAACCATCACTACAGTCCAAGACTTAGCACATTTTCATCACTCCAGAAAGAAACCCTCCACCCACCAGCAGTTACTCCCTACCCACCTCACCCCTCTGCCTTAGGCTATTGCTACTGTACTCTGTTCCTGTAGATTTGCTTATTCTGGACTTTTTATATAAATGGAATCATAGAGTATGTGGTCTTTTGTGACTGGCTTCTATTACCATAATGTTTCCAAGGTTTATCTACATTGTAGCATGTATCAATACTTTATTCATTTTATGCCTGAATAATAGTCCATTGTATGAATATACTGCTTTTATTTATCCATAGTCAGTTGATGGATAGTTGGTTGTTTCTATTCTTTGGCTATTATGAATAATGGTGCTATGAACATTCATTCACATGTTTTTGTGTTGATGTATGTTTTTACCTCTCTTGGATATATACCTGTAAGGGGAATTGCTGGGCTATATAATAACTTCAACATCTTAAGGAACTGCTAAAGCAGCTGTACCAGCTATCAGAAATATTGTTGTGGCCTGTTTTAGAAAAACAGTCTGCCATGTCTGTTCCTTTTTTAATTTTTATTTTATTTTTTTATTTTAAATTTTTTTTTAAGATTTTGTTTTTTATGTATTTGACAGAGAGAGACACAGCGAGAGAGGGAACACAAGCAGGGGGAGTGGGAGAGGGAGAAGCAGGCTTCCCGCTGAGCAGGGAGCCCGTGCGGGGCTCAATCCCAGGACCCCGGGATCATGACCCGAGCCGAAGGCAGACGCTCAACGACTGAGCCACCCAGGCGCCTCTTTTTTATTTTTTAAAAGATTTTATTTATTTGAGAGGGAGAGAGAGAGAGAACAAGTGAGAGCAAGGGCAGTGGGAGGGAGAAGCAGACTCCCCACTGAGCAGGGAGCCTGATGCTGCAGGGCTCAATCCCAGGACCCTGTGCTCACGACCAGAGCTGAAGGCAGCTGCTTAACCGTCTGAGCCACCCAGGCGCCCCTGCCATGTCTGTTCTGGCCACACAATTCACATCCTTCACATATAGAATACACCCCCTTGCCCCCCCCCACCCCCCATAAGGTATCCCAAAGTTCCATCCCTTAATGGCCTCAGGCTTAGGCTGGAGGTTTAGGAACTCAGTGAGGTTAAGTGCAGGTGAGATTCCTTGGGTACAATTTCTTGATGAAAGCTCCTAATTCCACTTGATGTGAAAACGTGGTGACTAAAGAAGCAAACTACACCCTTCCCATAACTCCCCAGCATACAATGGTGAGGCATGAGATAACTTTCCTGTTCTAAAAGGGTTTGGAAAACAAGAGGCAATTCTCTTTTCATAATTTCTTCCTATGTGATGTACTCTATTTCAGTAGTTTTAAATATCCTCCATACATTCATGACTTCCATATTTCCTAACATCTCTGAGCTCCACACTATTTAATAACTTTCACTTCATTTGATACCTTCATTAGGATATTTCACAGATATTTCCAACTTAACATGCTAAAATTAATTCTTGTTTTCTTCTTTACCCTTTGCCTCCACAAACCTGTTCTTTTCCTGGTTTCTCCGTCTAGGTGAATGATGCCACCATTCACCTAGTTGCTCAGACCAAAACCCAGGACTCAGCCTTAATTCTTTTCTCTTATCTCTATATTCCAATAATCAGCAAGTTCTGTATTTTCTTTCTTTAGAATATACTCACTTTTTTTCAGTCTCACCTGGATTACAACAATCTCCTTATTGGCCACCCTCCTTCATTCTTGCCCCTTTCTGATTTCCTTTGGCACAGCAGTCAAAGTCATATTTTAATTAATATGTCTGGTTATGGCATGCTGTTGCTTACAATCTTCAGTGACTTTTTTTTTTTTAAGATTTTATTTATTTATTTGACAGAGAGAGACACAGCTAGAGAGGGAACACAAGCAGGGGGAGCAGCAGAGGGAGAGGGAGAAGCAGGTTCCCCACTGAACAGGGAGCCCGATGCGGGGCTCAATCCCAGGACCCTGGGACCATGACCTGAGCCGAAGGCAGACGCTTAACAACTGAGCCACCCAGGCGCCCCCTTCAGTGACTTTTCACTGCACTTTGAGATCCAAATTCCTTTCCATGATCTAAAAGGTTCATATAACTGGCAGTTGCCTGTCCTTCTGACTTTATTCCCTGCCATCTTTACTCTTTATCCACCATACTTCATCTTCCCTGGGCTTTTTTCATTTCCTCACACATACCAAGCTCTCAGAAAGGATCTGTACACATGCTGTTTTCTCTGCCTGGAATATTCTCTCCCAACTTCCCACCCCACAGAACTGAATCTTTCTTATCCTTCAAGATATGGATTCCTGACCATTCCAAGTAGGTACCCCCTCTATTATTCTCTATCACTGTATCCTATTTCTTTTATAAAACTTATCCCAGTTTTAAGTTGTGTCCTGTTTGTTGACTTATCATCTGTCTCCCTAACTAGATTTTAAGCCCTACTGGGTCAGAGGCCATGTCTGTGTTGTTCAGTGTATACCCAGTGCCAAGGCAGAGTACGTAGCACATAATATGCACTCAGTAAATATGTGTTGAATAGTGTTTAAAGACATAATTTTGTTTTGAGACAGATATGTTAATAATTGGTAATAATGTTAAATGTATTATTTCCTAGTTCTTACTAAAATAGCCCTTTTTTCTTTCAGTAATTGCCCTTCCTTTTTGGCTGCTGCTTTAGCCAGAGCCACAGCAGATGAAGTCCTTCAGAGTGACCTTTCTGCACATTATCTCCCAAAGGAAACAGATGGCACAGAAGGGACTGTGGGTGAGTACCTTTCCTACATCATTTGTTTAAAAATATTAAAATCTTCTCATGTGTAGTAACCCGCAGAGAATGTCTACACAATATGAAATCTAATTATGTTTACCCACTTGTTGATTTTATAGCGGTAGCAAGAGAAAAAAATGCGAGTATGTATTTCAAACTGGTCAATAAAAGGAGGGGAAAAAAACAGGTATATTTTGAAAATGTGATGACAGTTGGAGCAAGAGATTAACATAACAGAATATCATCAGAATATATTCTGATAATAATATCAGAATATTAATAAATAATGCCTAGGTAAGTGGAAAGAGTAAACTGAGAAGTGTGAAGACGCAACAGAAAAGATGAGTGAGGGGAGAGAGTTTGAGCAAGACCTATTTAAAATATTTAGCTTACCTTTAAGAATCCAAGTAAAAAATCATATAAAAATTCAAGAAATCAGTTGTAACAAAACTTCTCAGTAATTATATTAAATTTTATTTCTACCAATAAATAAATAGAGTTCAACATGACAACTATTTAATGTGTGATTTAATTGCATGGATCACTGTACATCTTTTTTCCAGGCAAATTAAGACGCTTTATTTATTTATTTTTAAAGATTTTATTTATTTGAGAGAGAGCACAAGCAGGGGGAGTGGCAGGCAGTGGGAGAGGGAGAAGCAGGCTCCCTGAGGAGCAGGGAACCCGATGTGGGGCTTGATCCCAGGACCCTGGGAGCATGACCTGAGCCAAAGGCAGATGCTTAACTGACTGAGCCTCCTAGGTGCCCCTAAGAGGCTTTATTTATTAATGAAGGCATATTTATTAACATATTAGGTTTATACATATTTGACAGGGTCTAAGGAGATAGCAATTGTAAAAATTAGGAATTACTACTCAAAATTGTTAAGGAATTTGAATATTTCACTTTATTTGTTCTATTTTAAGCATTTGCCTTTAAACATGGTGCATAAGGAACAAAGCATATATTAATGAATCAGAATAACTAGATCCCAGAAAACTTGAGGCAAATATAAAAGTAAATATATCTGTTCTTACTTTATCTTCCTAGATCATTTTTGACAGAAAATTGGCAAGAAAGGAATTCCTCCTCTTGTTTTTACTGAGAGTAATTGATTCACTTGGAACCAAATTGTTCCAGAGTCAACTTGGATGGAATTCCTGCTACAAAGCATTGGTCTTTCCTCTGGTACTGATGCATGAAGTGAAAGCCCTGTAATGAAAAGATGAGGGAGATGGAATTCTGCTTCACTGCAGCCGAGGCGGTGGCTGACTCAGCTCCAGCTCAGTACAGTGACATTAACGACTAATGAGTAATTTACAGCTGCGAGGGGGTGGATTGCTACTTCGGACAATTTTCTCTTTTTCACACCATTTTTTATTTTATTTTTCCATTTCAAGCGGCAATTATTTATATACTGATGTTCTACACTCCCTGCAGAAGGAGAATACTTAACGTAGCAAGACTAAAGTGTAGCCCTGGGCATGCCTGCTTTGGAATTAAACCCCCATAAGATAGTAAAGTGAAATGACGGGTTTTTTTTTTTCTTTTTCTTTTGGTGGTATCATTGGTCATTCTGATTTTCTATTTTTTCAAGAGATTACCCAGTAGTGTCTCCTTGCCATGGCTGTGATTCAGAATGATCTATTGTAATTCTAACTCTTTGCAAGTCCTTAATCTATTTAACCCAAATCCCTCAGTGTCAGCTGCACTGAGGAGAATCTCTTCAGGACAGATTGTGTTTATCCATACATCAGAGTGGGAAATGAACATACTGAATAAGGCCTGCCGTCACTGGTTTAAAGGCACTCAAGTCCCCACGGAACTCTCAGTTGTTTCCAAAAACTTTAAAAAAAAATCCTTAACCTAAAATTCTTTTCATGTTTATGTCATCCCTACCAGAGGGTTTGCTAAACAACCTTGTGTATCTCTTGGTACAAATTTAGTTTGGCGGATATAACTCCTGTTCAGACAACCTATAAAATCAATTTGAAATATCTCAATGTAAAAATTAAAAACAAGAAGGGGAAAATTATCACTAACACAGAGGAAGTTAAAAGAATTATGAAAACTTTGTGTAAATAAGTCTGAAAACCTGGGTATTTTCTAGAAAAATACAAATTAACAAACTTTACCTGAAAAGAAAGAGATTAAGATTGTCAAGGAGCTATCTTCTAAAAAGGACAAAGAATAGGTGATTCTGGGGGTGCCTGGGTGGCTCAGTCGTTCAGCGTCTGCCTTCAGCTCAGGCCATAATCCCAGGGTCCTGGGGTCGAGCCCCACATCCGGCTCTCTGCTCAGCGGGAATCCTGCTTCTCCCTCTCCCACTCCCCCTGCTTGTGTTCCCTCTCTCGCTGTCTCTCTCTTCAAATAAATAAATAAAATCTTAAAAAAAAAAAAAAGAATAGGTGATTCTACAGGTGAACATTTTCAAATGAGCAAAGATAGACAATTCTAATGCTTTTTAAAATGAATTATCCAATTGCATATGGAAGGAAAATTTACAGAGCATAACACTGATAGGAAAACTTGCCTGAAATAAAACTAAAAAAGGAAACGAGAAATCAGTCTTAGTAATCAATGTAAAAAATCTTAAGTAAAATACTTGTATATTGAGTACAACAGTTCATTCATTCATTCATTTATTGAGGGCCTACCATAAGCTTAGCACCGTGCTGAGACCATAAACAAAACAAAATAATAGGAAGTCTGTTAGGATAATTTATATATTAAGGTCAAAAGAAAAACACCAGAAGAATCTCAAAAGATGCCCAAAGAAGCATTTGATAAAATTCAATTATCCATTCCTATTTTAATACTTAATAATGTAGAACTAGATGAGTATATCTTGGACTTTGTTGGACAAAATTTGGCTCAGACCAAAATCTAGCATGTATGCCTAATGCGTACTTAAGAATTTTTTGGTTGCAAGTGACCACTAACACAGCTCAAACTGGCTTTAGCAAAACAGAATTTATTGGCTACCCTTCAACATACGGGCTACACAGATTCAAGGCCTCAGATGATTCATCCCAACCTGGCATTTCTCCAAATCTCAGCTGTTTTTTCTCTTTCTCTCTCTCTCTCTCTCCTCCCTCCCTCCCTTTCTTTCTTATTTTTTTTTTTTCAAGTAGGCTCCACATTCAACATGGGGCTCAAACCCACGAGTCTGAGATCAAGAGTCACGTGCTCTACCGACTGAGCCAGCCAGGTGCCCCTCTTTAATTTTGATTTTATTTTCAGGCTCCATGTGGTGGCAAGATGACTGCTAGATCTGCCCAGGCTCAAATCAAGCAGGAAAGTAACAGTAACTTCACTCAGTTGCTCTTACATAAATTGCAGGATTCACTCTAACCAGCCCAGCTTGGATTATTTCCAATTCCTGAACAATCAGTATAGCCAGAGGAATGTGATTGTCTTATTAGCTAGACCTGAACCACATGTCTTAGCCCTAGATGCACATGGACTGAGAGTACAGAAGGAACTGTCTCTGGTAGAAAGAGGAATGTTTGCTAGGTGGCAAGTAACACATTAAAGCAAAGTTCTTACTCAAAATAGGAAATAAAGTAAAATAACTTGGAATAAATTCATTAAGAAGTATGAAGATCTTGGGGCACCTGGCTGGCTCATTTGTAAGAGTATGTGACTCTCTATCTCTGGGTTATGAGTTTGAGCCCCACATTGGGAATAGAGATTACTTAAAAAAAAAACAAAAACCCTACTGAGCAACATAAAAAGGACTCAAATTAATGAAACAATATAACTTGTTCCTGGGTAAGACTCTATATGAAAAAGATATCATTTTTTTTTTTTTTTGCAAATTGCTCTATAAATTCAAGGCAATCCCAAACACAATGGCAACAGATTTCCCCCCTCAAACTCGGCAAAATGAGAAAAGTCATCTGGAAAAATAAGCATGTCAAACTACCAAGTGACATTTTTTAAAATTAGTATTAGGTAGGAAGGCTAATCCTCCTGATATGAAAAGATGTTATAAAGTTATAGTAATTATAAAATAATGGCACCACTGTAGAAATAGATGGCATGATCAGTGAAGTCTCTAGAATAGATGATAAAAAAGCATACATTTTTTAGTAGTTAATTTATATAAGTTTGCGTATTCATTTATTCAGTAAACATCTAATGAGCCCCTGCTATCTGCTAGGTACTGTACTATGACTAATCAAGTACAATTAAGACACAATCTGTTTAATTTGGGAGATGTAGAGCATGGGTGTCAGAGTCAGATAGACCTGTGATTGAAAATGGTTTTGTTTGTGAAATGTTCCAGAGACAGAGGATGTAACAAACACTTAATAAATGTTATCTATTGTTACAAAATGTGGCAAGAGCTATAGTAGATGGTGTAATGGGAACATAAGGGAAGAAGCAACTGGGAGGGGATAGGAACCCGATCTACTGGTTTACTAAATATTAGAGGAAGCAGGTATTGCCTCCCCTAACCAATTTAATCTGTCTAACCAGTGCTAACCAATAGCACGATGGAAATGTTCTCTACCTGCGTTGTCCAGTGTGGTAGCCACTGGCTGTATGTAATTACTGAGCATTTGAAATACAGCCAATGTGACCCAAAAACAGAATTTTAGATTTTACTTAATTTTAATTAATTTAATGTTAAATGGCCACATGTAGCTAGTAAGAAACCTTACTGGGCGGTGCAGGTCTATATAGTAAGAGTAATATACACAGCCAAAGAATGATATAATGGTTTCTGTTATTTGGGAATCTGGGAACTAACCTGATAGTATCAGTTATTTGTTTCACCCCCCACTCCATTCTCCCTCAATGTTTCCAAATTTACTTATTGTTTTGCATCCTCTGTTGTGATTGAGTCAAACTCACCCCTATGCTGCTACAAAGACCAGATGGGTTGGAGTGATACAAATAGGTAATTGCTGGCTGAAAGAGATAGTCTCTGGCAACTGGTGCTTTAAAAAAAATAAAGACTGGAGTTTGTCAAAACAATAAAAATACTGGCTTGTATTTTTCCCCTCTTATACACACCTCCTCAGGTTGTATTTGCTCTCTGAACTTCCTTTCTCTTTCAAATATACCCTTGACTTTCTGTTACATAAAAACGTCAAGGGGGACAGAGCCAAAAACCATGGTTTACCAAACTTGTACTATGTTAATGAGAAAAAAGGCAACTAAAACCTTGAGATAAGCTTTCTGAATGTAGTCATTGTTGGAAGGATTTTGAATAAGAAAACAGGTAAATGTAGTGGCAGATTAAAGCAACAGCAGGGAAAGGAATAGAAAAGTTCCTAGGCCATTCTAGAACACAGTCACTCTCCTGCGTGGTCTATGTTCTAGATCAGAGGAGTCACGTGCAGCCATTGCCCTTTCTGGTACACGTTTTCTCAGGCTGTCAAGCTAGATCTGATTTAGTAAAGTAAAAAAACAAAAAAACAAAAAAAAAAAAAAACTTGAAGAATTCTAAATCGTTTTACCTGAGACGTAGGAATCTCTAAAATACTGGCTTGAGAAAAACTTAAATCTCCCCCTGGTTATTTAATAGCTGCAACTTGAGTAGAGGACAGCTGGAGCCGGGGTGATGTGAGATATAATCTCTTCAACACTATTCAGTGTTGCCTAAAAGGCTTACACATCTGTCCATCCATCGAGAGATGCAAGTCAGCCTCCGAAGTCAGCTCATCTACTCCACTTGATGGGTCAAATAGTAGACTTAACAGTCTAGGGTGAAGAATCCTCTGGTTGCCATCTCCTTTGTTCTATCCAGGGTTACACCCATAGACAGAGTTTAAGTACTTTTTTCCTTAGAGACTTTTAAAACTTTTAAAAAACTTTTACCACATTTGTTAACCTTTTAAAGCTAAACTATTTAAGCTATTGCCAAAAACTTTAATTAAAAAATTCATCAAATAAAAATATATTTAGTTCCAAATTCTTATCATTTACAGGAGAGAAAAGTTAGGGAACTGGAGGGAGATAAAGGAAGAGGTCAGGAAAAAAAAGACAAAGACAAATGGTAATCACAATAAACTCTCATTCCTGTAGTTGGTAAATAAATGATGTTTTCATAGGCCTTTCATATCCCAATTGGCTGGATAACTACTGTTCATATTTCAGTCATTTTTTTTTTAATTTTATTTATTTGACAGAGAGAGGGAACACAAGCAAGGGGAGTGGGAGAGGGAGAAGCAGGCTTCCTGCGTAGCAGGGAGCCTGATGCGGGGCTTGATCCCAGGACCCTGGGATCATGAGCTGAGCTGAAGGCAGACGCTTAACCAACTGAGCCACCCAGGCGCCTCTTCAGTCATTCTTCTGAGCAGGGGGAGCTTGGCTCTCCAGATGATAATCATGGCAGCCAACCAAAAGGGAACCAGTGCTCTGAACTAGATAGCAGTGGTTGGAGAACTTTGAGGGTTGGAAGAAATCTAGTCTAAGAGTAGATTCAATCCTGGCCAGAGGTTTTCTCCTCATGACATAAGAATATCATAGTGGCAGCTGCTGGCTGATGATTTTCTACTAGACTGGTTGTCATTTTCTCTCTTCAGAAGCAACATTTCATTTCTCTTCAGGAGGAATTTCTTCTATTAAGGAGGAACTTGATGAAGGTGACCTACTTCTGTCTTTACCAAGCAGGCAAGTGAAAAGCAGCTTTACAAGGCTCTTCATTGGGGGTGTCTGTGTTTCTTTCACAGAGATCGAAACAATGAAATTGGCCCGTTCTGTCTTCAGCAAACTACACGAGATTTGCTGCAGCTGGGTGAAAGACTTCCCTCTCCGCAGGAGACCCCAGCTTTATTATGAGACATCAATCCATGCCATCAAAAACATGCGCAGGAAAATGGAAGACAAACATGTCTGCATTCCTGACTTTAATATGCTCTTCAATCTAGAGGTAAAGGGCCCTTCTCTAGAGTCAATGAGATTTAAAAAACAAACACCTTCATGGTCTTATTTTTCTATAAGAACTTCTAATATACCTCTAATAGCATCTCTGATGGTTTGGAATAGGACTAAAGGCAGAGTAGCATAAATCTGCTTGTATTAGACAACAGAAAAGAAACTTATGTTATTTTTTTTTTTTAAAGATTTTGTTTATTTATTTGAGAGAGAGAGAATGAGAGATAGAGAGCACGAGAGGGAAGAGGGTCAGAGGGAGAAGCAGACTCCCTGCTGAGCAGGGAGCGCGATGCGGGACTCAATCCCGGGACTCCAGGATCATGACCTGAGCCAAAGGCAGTCACTTAACCAACTGAGCCACCCGGGCACCGGAAACTTGTTATTTTGGTTTATTTATTTTTAAGTAAGCTCTACGCCCAATGGAGGGCTTGAACTCAAACCCCGAGATCAGGAGTCACATGCTGTACAGACTAAGCCAGCCAGGCACCCCGATTTTATATTATTTGAATAGGTAATGCATTCACATTGTTCAGATTCGAAAACAAAAATATCTCTCTTATCCTTGTGTCTCAGATGCTCAGTTCCCTTCCATGAAGGCAAGGGAAGTTACCAATTTTTTTGCATAAACTTCCAGAGCTATTCTATAAACATAGAAGCATAAAAGAAAACTGCCATATCTCAATAAAGCTGTTTTCTTAAAAGGAAACTACAGTAAAATTAGATGGTGTTTATTAAGTTCCCAGATTACTATGTTGCTGAAGCAACATAAAACGTAAACATAAAAGGATGAATTTAAGACAGAGACAGTTTTCTGATTTCCAGTGATTCTCTTTTTTAAATCTTGGTTTCTGAGAGAGGAAAGTAGATGGAATTACATTTCATGAATCTCTGTAACTGACACATTGGATCATATGAGCCTTGCTTGTCAGCTTAATAACCATTTTCTTGTTATCTTCCTCTTCTTTTTCTATTAATGGTATTATTAGTGCCAACAGAGGTAGGTTTGTTTCCCCTGCCTGTCACTTGCCTCTTTTCTTCATTCAAGTCCATAACTTAAAAATTACAATGTAGTAATTTATACAAAGCACAGTATTTCCTTTATTTAGCAGCTAAATTTAAATTTTAGCTAACTGTCAAGGTCTGATAAGCAGTGATGGTAGGTTGGTAATTGGTGCTTATGTTACAAAGATAGACCAGCTTTGTTTCCAAATATCTTTAGAATATGTGAATATCCTTATTTCCAAATGTTACCATGCCCATGCAAATATAACCTTAAATGTTAACCTTAATGTGACAAACAATCCTTCTATCACTACACCCACTTGAAGATTATACTCTGATCTGAGGGCATTGTTGCTATTTGTTGACCTGGTTGATTTTCATTTTGCTTCAAAATCAGCCCAAAAGCCTGACTCAGAAAGAACACCTTGCTTTAGAGAAACGGTTTTGAAGGCAATTTGGCAACACATACTTAGAACCTTGTATATTCTCACCACCTTTGATCTGGTAATTTCACTTTTAATTTTATATTATAAGGACACAAATGCAGGAAATTCTTATATGTTTTGACATAAATGTCTTACATAACATTTTCAATAATAAACTAGAAATGATCAAAGTCATATATAGGGAGCAACTATAATATGCTCATTAGATGTATAGTACATATCCATTTCAAATGTCTGAGTAATACTTAATGACATGGGGGAAATGCTAATGATATGATAAATGACAAAAAGCAGGATATAAAATTTTATGTATAGTATGATCTTAATTTTATCTAAAAAATTTATATATATAGAAAAAAGACTGGGGCGCTTGGGTGGCTCAGTTGGTTAAGCGACTGCCTTCGGCTCAGGTCATGATCCTGGAGTCCCGGGATCGAGTCCCACATCGGGCTTCCTGCTCAGCGGGGAGTCTGCTTCTCCCTCTGACCCTCTTCCCTCTCGTGCTTTCTATCTCTCATTCTCTCTCTCAAATAAATAAAATCTTTAAAAAAAAGAAAAAAGAAAAAAGACTGGTTATCTGTGAATGGTGGGATAATATATAGATTTCTTTATTAGTCCAAATAAACAATATATTATCTTTATAACAGGGAAAACTTTTTTTTTAATTTAAAAAGGTATACTAATTTTTTTAAGAGATCCACTTGGCTGTCTTCTGTTTCTCTGGATGCTATATTGTTTAAAAATCTCCCCACCACACTTGGCTGTCTTCTGTTTCTCTGGATGCTATATTGTTTAAGAATCTCCCCACCAATCTCACATTGTTTAAAGTTATACTCTCATGGCCTCAGAAAGGTATTATTGTCCCCTCCTTTTTTGTGATGATCTCACATCAGCTCACTCATTTAAAAACTGCTTGAATATGCCATTTTTCAATTTTACCTTTATCTTGCCAACTGAGTTGTTTAAAAATGAGTACTGCTTTAGTACAGGTAGAAATTCTGCATATCAGGACTTTTTTTCAAGATAGTTCTGTTTAATCAGAACTATCAATTTTCAATGGCATTATAGATGGTATTAATTATTAACTAGTTGTAATGTCTGTATTAGATGTTGATTTCATAATATTTGGGTGTTTTTACTCTATGGACATTTATATTTGGTACTTAGTACACCCTTTAAAAAGAATTTTTTTCTGGGACACCTGGGTGGCTCAGTTGGTTGGGCGTATGCCTTCAGCTTGGGTCATGATCCCAGGGTCCTGGTATTGAGTCCCACATTGGGCTCCCCAGTCGGTGGGGAGAGTGCTTCTCCCTCTGCCTGCCGCTTCCCCCTGCTTGTGTTCTCTCTCCCTTTCTCTGGCAAATGAATAAATAAAATCTTTTAAAAAAATTTTTTTTGAAAATTTGAAAAAAATACTCAAAATTTTTTAAAAGATTTTATTTACTTGAGAGAGAGAGAGGAGCAGGGGGAGAGGAACAAGCAGACACTGTGCTGAGTGCAGAGCCCGAGATGGGGTTTGATCCCAAGACCCTGAGATCATGACCTAAGCCAAATCAAGAGTCAGTACTTAACTGAGCCACCCAGGCGTGCCTAAAAATAATTTTTTCAAAACACAGATGATACCTGTTGTTTTAGTAGTTCTTCCAAATCTGTACCTAATGAGAGAAAAAGCACAAGAAAATTATATGATTTACTTTGTATATTTGATTTCCTTTGAATGACAGGGCCTAAACTCATCTGAGCTCCTAGAGCCCACCGATCAAGTCAAAGCTTGCACATGAAATTGATTACATACTGTTGCCTAAAGGGAGTCCAGGACTCAAGTGAGTTCAGTGAGCTACAGATCTCCTAAGTAAGCTAGATCTGAGATGTACACACTGGAGTTGAAGATAAAGAAGCAAACTACTTAATGGCTTAAATGTAATATTGTGATTAGGCTTCCTTTGTCAAGACAGATCCTCTTCTGGCAGTTGCCTTAGTGCTTCAAGCAGTGGGTGGGCTAGGAAGGGTGAAGCTAAATCTTGGTTAGGGGACAAGGCAAAATGGTTACAAGGCATTTGGATATCTGATTTGCTTTAAGTTTGGCTAACCAGTTTAGAGACTGTGTTACTTACGGTGAGTATTCAATGTGACTATGATTTATGAAGATATTACAGCTTAGAAGCATGTGTATGCTTTCGTTATCTCTGTATTTTTAAACAACCTAACATAATTGGTCTTGTGCTGAAGGCCAGTTATTTCCTATTGTTCTCAGTTTCTAATTTTATCAGAATACTTTCATTTTGAAAAAAATACTCAATCCAGAACAGCTTTTGCTCAATTCCTCCTCATACTTTCTCTTTCCTCCCCCTTCCCACAACTTGTAACAGCAGTTTTGAAGCAACTGCATGTGGGCGGTTTCCATGGTACAAGACAGCAACTTTCAGTGAGAGGGCACTTCCGCCTGAGCTAACTGGCCACAATGTGTTCCAGTGTTCTCTGTGTAAACACGGATACCCCCGTGCTGCAGGTATTTTAGCAGGTGATCAGGCATGTCAAAAAAGAGAAACATTTAATCTCATTGTCTAGGTGGCAAGTGCAGTGGAGGAGTAAATGGGCATCATCAGTACAACGGATTGGTTCCTTTGAGTCACGCTGTACCTCACTTCCTTAACTGTTTGTTTTTCTATCAACAGGACCAGGAAGAACAAGCCTACTTTGCAGTGTTTGATGGCCATGGGGGAGTGGATGCTGCCATTTATGCCTCCATTCACCTGCACGTTAATTTAGTCCGCCAGGAGATGTTCCCCCACGATCCCGCTGAAGCCCTGTGCCGGGCCTTCCGGGTCACTGATGAGCGGTTTGTGCAGAAAGCAGCCAGGGAGGTATGCCATTTCCTCATAAATTCCAGCCATGAATGCACTAGCTGAGCTCAACTTGGTCCGTGGTTCGTGGGCTATTTTGGGTTTTCTCTTTTGGGGCAGGCATTATTTAAAGTTCTTTCAGGCTGTATTCTTGACCCATGATATTGGATTCTGTTGTAGTTCTAATTCCATCTTAAGGGTTTTAGTGGGGTGATATGATGTGCTGTAGAGAAACTCCAAAGTTATAATTTTCTAGAAAGCCAGTCCATTGCTGGATTTGGCAGGTGAGTTTTAGCTTTTTTATTTACCAGTGCCTGTCAGCTTCACACCAGGACCATCTCTCTAAGCAGACTTTTGCTGACAAAATCTGGATACAGTGATTAAAACAATGGACTAAAAAGGAAACAGAAGCTGGATTACTCCCATACGTTTGGTTCTAAGTGGGTTGGCAGTGTTTTACTGTGTATCTCTTGAGGGAAAATTTGCTTGGAGAGCGAATCCTTAGATGCTTCTTGAACTGATTTTACAGGAAGAAAAGTCAGAGCTCATGTCCTAATTTCTTAAGGTTAATCAGACCTAAGGTTTTTACTGTGAATGAATGACAGGGGCTCTATATTAAGATCTAAAAGTAAAAATTTTAATCTAATTATCATTCTGGGTATTGGTATATGATTAACTACAGTACTCTATATTCATTTTTAACTGGGGGCCAATAGCAAGATAATAATTTTTAATTTTTAAAAGTAATTACAGATTATACATACAAAAAATAAGACTCCTGCCCTATGAATTAAACATTAACTGTTTTTGAAAAGGACTTGGAAGGAGTAGGGTCATCATTTAATCCATTTCTTTGATTTCATTGTTATGCTACACAGCAGTAGTGGCGCTTGGAATCAATGAAACAGTAATTCAGAACTATTTGGTATTAAGCAAGGAAAATATTGTTTCCCCACCTTTACCCCAGGTTTAGTTTAGTATGCAAATCCAAAAACAGTGACCACTAGGGTCTACCTACAGAGGTGGGCCTAGAAAACAATACAGTTGTTGACCTCAGACTGTCCCCAGAGTCTTGAGGGCTGGCACTGCTCAGCTCTGCCTACCTTGGAGCTACTGGCTGTCGTCATTTTGACCAAGGCCAAGACCTGGCCCCTGAGAGTGATCTGTAAGATCACAGAAACTAAGAGAATCACTTTGTCTTCTTCTGTTCTATCCCTTTTTCCTCTGTGTCCTCAAAATTATGGCTTTTTTCTCTGACCATGTTCACCTCATTTGCTTTGCCAGTGATCCTAGTGTCTCTCAGTCTTGCCAATAGTTCTTTTGAATAATTTAGGTTTGTCTCAGCAGTTACTTTTTTCCTTCTTCTGCTTCCATGTGCTGCTAACTGCTGGGAAGAAAGGAGCTATTCCTGTTGTGAAGCAGCCCTGCCTCCTGTTCTCTGCAGGGCATATGCACTCGAGTGTCTTTATCATGTATTCCAGGGGGCTGAGGTTTTGAACATTCTGGGTGGGAAGACATTTTATTGGTGGGTGAGGATCTATAACAAACTTTCCCTATATAGGAAAAATGAGAAGTTGTTTTTCTCATTGGATACAAGGGGCCTTTTACCATCCTTGACGCATTGGTTCTAATTTAGGACAAGTCCTTGGTAACAGAAAGTCATGCTTATTTGGTGGTGACTCATGTCAAATGGAGATGTCATTTAATGTAGTAGTATCAGGAGCATGAAGTACACTGCTACTGAGCTACTGCAGTGAAGCTCCAGGCTGTTCTTTATGCAGTGTTCCAAAAGCAGAGGCCCCTAAAATTATTGATTTTTTTTTTTTTTTAAGTATAAGCAACTTAGCATGCCAGGGAATATATGTTATCTCTTGGCTCCTATCTTAATACTCAGAGTGTGGGAGCATTTGTTGTGTACCTATCAGATCCTTTGTAATGCTAGGACCTTCCCCTTGTACATACTGTAGGTCAGTGACAAAACAGAGACCAGAACATGGAAATCTTTAAGGACTGCTGTAGTGGATTGAATGCTGGACTGGGAGAAAAAAGAATTTCAGTTCTGTTTTGTGTACTAATGAGTTACCCGCTCTTGGAAAGGTCACAGAACCTGCCACAGTTTTATTTGTACATAAAATGAAATGAATAATCATCCCTGCCTTGCGTATCATAGATAACATGGATCTATGTGTATACACATACATCCATGCACATAAAAATGCAGAGAAACAGGAATTGCTGTTTGTTGTGAAATTGAGTTACTAATAGTTAGACCCCAACTAAAAGTCTGTGTTAACTATAAATTGCTTCTCAATGAGAAATTGAAGTCTGTTTATTTTTGCTGACTCTAGTTTTATTTAATTACTTTTAGAGTTTAAGATGTGGGACCACAGGAGTAGTGACTTTCATCAGAGGGAACATGCTCCATGTGGCCTGGGTTGGGGATTCCCAGGTCATGCTCGTGAGAAAAGGGCAAGCGGTTGAGCTAATGAAGCCACACAAACCGGACAGGGAGGTAAGTGTGCTCCGTTCTGGGAGGGCACGTGCCACGGAGGCGGGTTTCTAGCTAGTAGTTAATATTCACTTGCTTATTCTGATTACCACCGTTATCTGAGCAACCATGCCCACCTTACAGAGGAGAAATAAAGAGAACCTTTCCTGGAAGCTGATGAGTATTGTACCTGTTGTTTACTGTTAAGGTAGACAAATCCTGAATCCAATTATTTGCTTCTTTCTATTGCATTGCTGTTTAGGATGAAAAGCAGCGAATTGAGGCTCTTGGAGGTTGTGTAGTCTGGTTTGGTGCCTGGAGGGTGAATGGAAGTCTGTCGGTCTCCCGAGCTATTGGTAGGAAAAACCAATTCCTTTTTGTTTCTCCGAACTGTCCTCCCCTAGCTCATTGTCTCATATTAATTCTGCTACAATAAGGGAACCTAAGATGGTAATTTATATTATCAGAGTGCTTATTATTGTTTAAAGTAACAATTAGATAATGCCTCTTTTAATTAACCTATTCATTTATATACTTAAATTCCATTACTGAAAGGGAACTATATTAAGAAATGCAGAGCTTACTAGTTTTTTGTTTTTGTTTTTTTTAATGGAAGCCTTTAATTTTTGGGACACAAATCTGCTTAAAACTACAGTGATCCTCATTTCATTCCATTTTGGATCATATTTAACTTAGTATTTTCAAGAGAATAGAAGGCTCCCCTCCCTATATTTTACCTTGTTTATATCTTTGTTTTCATTGAATTATAAAATGACAAACATTGTACTTTTTAGATGAAAAAATTTTTTTTTAATGTGGAATATAGTGATTTGTCAGATAACCCTAGGGTTTCAAAGAATCTGCCTCCCTGGGACCTAAATTTTTCAAGAGAAGGGTAAGTCAGTGTAACTGTCTAAAACTTAGTAAACAGCTGACCTGATTGGACAAAATGCAAGGGTGTAAGTTCAAAGATAGTCCTGTTTCTATTTTTGTTTCACTTTGGCACCTGGGTTTATTATATTTTAGGCTTTGTGGCTTAGCTTCATTTCTGGTTTTTTAAAAAGAATAAATCAGTGTGTGTGTATCTTTATGGGTGATATGCATGCATACTACAGTTCTTCATTCCTGCCTCCTAAAGAAATTAAATGAAGTAATTTGACATAGGAATAATATGGATAAATGGAATTCACATGTAATCCCCCAGTTTTGCTTATCGTTACCAAAATCTCAAAGGATTGATTCAGTTTCACCAGTGACAGGAGTTCCTCCCACTCTTTGGGAAGGTGCTAGCAAGCTGTGAAGTGGCCCAAATGTGAGTAGCAGAAGGCTGAGAGAGAAAGCAAAAGCTGAAAGATCCTGCAAGTGCTTCTGAAAAAATGAGGGTTAGTTTTTATCTCAGACTGAGAGAGTTATTAGGAACTCTGGAATAAGACCCCAGAGGGGAAATTTCTCATTTCTGAAACACACCCCTGTGTAGAATTGACAATTCCTCTTGATCTTACAGTCTTTGTCAGAGTATCGAAAAGGATCTTTAATGCTTGTCATAGAACCAACTTTACTAGGGAATACTTGCCTTTTCTTGCTTCTAAAAATATAACACAAGGGGAAACTAAAAGCAAGGGGAGAATGTCCTTGAATAAGAGACGGTCTAAGAGAGAATGTGGCAGACTCTATAGAGAAAGTGACTTTTAGGTTGGATGTGGAGGCTAGTGTGTAGGGGAGGAAATTCCAGGGGGAGGAGAGTATAAATACATGGGCATCTGAAAAGGCACGCCATGTTTTAGGAACAGTAGCATGTACAAGAGGCGAGGGCAGAGGGTAGAGTGATCAAAATAAGTGTGGCGCCAGACTGTGAAGGGGTTTATATAGCCAGGCTAAGTAGTCTAGACTCTACCAGGTGAATAAGCCGAGAGGCCACATGATTCAGACTTATAAGGTATTTGTGATCATGGTATGGAAGACAGACTGGAGTAGAAAGCCTAGGTGAGATCATTCAGGGGCTGTTGATATAGTCTGTTACAGAGATGAGGGCAACTCAGAAGGGATACAGAGGATGTATGAATTGATCAGACAGAAGTGACAGTTTCTGGGGGCAGAGGAAAGCTGATTTCCAGGTTTTTGACTTACGTGACCGAGAAGATGATAAAGCATTTGTAAAAAAGCAGCAGCAGTTTGTGGGGTGGGGAGGAGGGCAGATGATGAGTTCATTTTGGACATATTTTATATTGTATATACCTGTGTGATATTTTAGGAGACAGAACTGATATGCAGCTGGAAATACAGATCTGGAGCTGAGCAGAATTCTGAGTTGCAGATAAGAGATGTGGGAACTCATCGCATTTTGGCAATAATATTAGCAATCTGTGAAGTGATATTATATATAGTAGTTGAAATTATAGGTTTGGACAGTATTGCCCAGGAAAAATATGTAGTGTGATGAGAGACCAAGGATGAGACTCATTACTTAAGGTAGAAATACACAATGAAGTCATGCCTCTAGGTTTGTGTGGCTCTGTCACTTTACAAGCTGTGGGCCTTGGGAAATTAATTTCTTTGTGTCTATCTGTTCCTTGGTAAAGTAAGAATAGTAACATTAAATGGCTCATGGAGTTTTGTATTAAATGGTATAATACAGGCACCACACTTAGAGCCCTGCCTGGCAGTTTTAGCCAGCCAATCACAAAATGATTAGTACTATTATTAAGTGAAGGAGCCAGTGAAGAAAATCAAGAAGGGATCAGAGATATACACGTGGGGTATCACAGATACTAGAAGAGGGTTTCTAGGAGTAAGTGGTCACAGGGTCAAATGCTAGGAGAGGTCAAGTGAGACGTGGGTTAAAAAAAGACATGGAATTTTGAAAACCGGAACTAATTGGTAATATATGAGAGAAATGTTTTGGATGAGTAGATGGAAAAAAACCCAGAAAATCAGGTGACAGAAAATGAGTAACAACACAAAAGAACATGTATAGATTTAGTTTCTTGGGCAATTTAGTGGTAAAGGAAATAAGTGTGGTGGCCTGAGGGAAAAGCTGATTTGGGAGAGGGTCACTTTTATTATTTTTGATGTTAGGCTGACGAGTTTAGATCAGAGTATGTTTGTAGGATAAAAGATGAGAGCAAGTAGAAGAGAAATTGAAGATGAGAGTGACAGAAGCCAGAGTCCTACAGAGTCAGGTCCCAGAGCACAGGTGAGCTTTGAGGAGGAAATGGAGACCTCTACTCCTGACACAATAGTAGCTGATGTGGTGAATCTCTCTTGATGAAAACAAAAGGGCCGGGGGGAGCGGGTAGAAACTGAAGGAATTCAGGCCTGATAAACTTAATTTTCTTTGAAGTGGGAAATTAGGCCATCTACCAAAATCCAGTAGCTTAATTGGAAGAGAGAGGTGAAGAATGTGAGAATAAAATCGGGGGCTAAACAGGGACAAGAAAAAGGACTCCTGAGCAGAGTTCAACTCTACTTAGAAATTAAGTGACACTTAAAGCTTTCAAAATGAAAAGCTTTTCAACTGTTTCTCCTCATGAGCCCTTCAGATTTATGATCCAAAGTTGACAGGGAGGCATGATATGTTTCGTAGCATATGGAGAGAGGAGGTTGAAGATAAAAGGATGTTGCCATTTTCACCATGAAATGGATAATCATGCCCTCCTACCAAATTTGGGGGCGAAATGTCATGAATTTGACATCCAACAGTAGAGCAGGTGAAAAGCCAGAATTTTGGCAGCATTTTCCCTGTGCAAATCTTTGTATGTTCTGTTCCAAACTAACAGTTGCAGTAGCCTTTTAATTGAAGCACTAAAACAAGATTTTTGGGAACAGTATGACTCAGATCACATTTATTTTTAGAGCTGGAATTCAGAAAATAATAATAATAATAGTCAGGTGGAGTAGGGGATGGGGAAATTTAGTAAAGCAGATAGGTGGAGAACACTGAATCTCATGATTGGAAGTTTTACCTGATGCCTCCCAGTAGCCTGTGAGAGCTAAAGTATGAAATTGATGGAATCAAAACCATGTTTGAGGGAAGATGGTTCTGGCAACTGTATGAAAAAGACTAGTTTCTTATCTAGTATCTTGTTGTTCAGTGTGTCCCACACCAGTTCTAGCAGTTGTCTCTAGGGTGCCTATTGAGTTTTCTGGGCCTATTGGAGGATTAAACAGGGATGGGAAGTGTTGGAGAGAACCTTATGTGGGTAGGAGAGAACCTAGAACAGGTGATGACAGAGCCAGATAACTTATGTATAATTATTTTCATTTTATCATCCCCTAGTCCAAAAGCAGTTTTAGTACTGTAGAGAGGACAGTAACTGATGAGGGTCTGTAAGTAACAAATGCTAGGATTTGGATCCAGGCAGTCTGACTCCAGTGCTGGCATCCTTAACCACTAAGCTGTATGTCATTACTTTACAAATGATAAAACATTTTATAAATTTTAACTACTGTTTCCCAATTATGGTACCCTAATCTAGGAATTATTGCTAAATACTGTTTTCTATGTAAAGCAGTAGTAAACGAGTATCCCTTGTTGTATTAATAAGCTATATGGTTACCCAAGAGGCTAGGGACCCCTTGGCTAGGCTCTCTCCAAGTATCCAGAGGAAAACAATGAATGTAGAGTGAATGGATCAGGAAGTGCTCCAGATCTGAAAGATCCAGAATGCATTGCAGATGATTAATTTTCTCCATAGTCTGGTGATAGACTGGGGAGACCTTGAGCCCACACTAGGCTAGGTTTCTATCTCCACTCCAAGGACCCCATATAAAGCTACACATCACTGCTTCATAGTTGCCTCTGTGCCTTGCTTATGCTAATTCCTTCAACCGAGGGCCAGCCCTTCTCTGCCTGGTGATAACTAACTTATCCTTCAATACCCGGCTCAAATGTTCTATAAGTGCATGAACTAAACAAAGGAGAAATAATGACCCAGGAGGGCCTTGGGGGTTCTCACAGTTGTTCACAAGTGGAGAATGAACAACAGCAATAAAGACGGTGGGGGTTCGATCAGAGACAAATGAAGACAGCAAGAATATGGTAGTCCCTGAAGAGGAGAGAAATGTGGCCATACATTTTCCAGTTGTTCTCTAGAAGTTACAAGTAAAGCAGCATTAAAAAGTAGAAAGCAAACTGGATTGGGAACCAAGAGACTAACATTCTAGTTCTCTTGTCTGAATCTTGGGATGACTTTTCCTGGCTTGAGGGGAGTTGGACTTGATTTTTTAAAAATCCCTTGTAACTGAAACCTTTCTCTGTGCTAGCAGCATAAAGCTATTAATTTGAAAACAAGGACAGAAAATTAAGTATTTAATGAAAAGAATGACCACAACTTTGGTTTTTCAATGTGGACTTGTTCTCAAATCTCAATTAAATCAAACTTTACTAGTAAAAAAAAAAAAAAGATCTGTTAACCAACAAAATTTTCCTATGTAACGCTGAAGTTTTCAATGCAGCAAAAAATTTAGATTTGACATTTGTTGCCATGCTCAGCTAAGCCTAAATCATAGCTAGAAGCACAAGATTCAGCATGTAAGCTAGTGAGAAATTAAGCCCAGTGAATGGCAATTATTTAAGTAAGGAGTGAGCAGCATCTGATTAACAAAGAATTCAAGTATTTTATCTGAAACTAGTTTATAAATTCTTTCCAGTAAATTCAGATCACAATCCAATAAATTGTGATCAGTCACAGCAATGGCCATAAACATTCTTACATGCAAGGTAAACCAAAATCTGACCTCCTTTCTAATTCCCACAGGAGATGCTGAACATAAGCCATATATCTGTGGGGATGCAGATTCTGCCTCGACTGTTTTGGATGGGACTGAAGACTACCTCATTCTGGCCTGTGATGGCTTCTATGACACCGTGAATCCTGATGAGGCAGTCAAAGTTGTATCTGACCACCTGAAGGAGAATAATGGAGACAGTAGCATGGTTGCCCACAAATTAGTTGCATCAGCTCGTGATGCTGGGTCAAGTGATAACATCACTGTTATTGTGGTATTCCTGAGGGACATGAACAAAGCTGTAAATGTTAGTGAGGAATCAGATTGGACAGAGAACTCTTTTCAAGGAGGGCAAGAAGATGGTGGGGATGATAAGGAGAATCATGGAGAGTGCAAACGCCCTTGGCCTCAGCACCAGTGCTCAGCACCAGCCGATCTAGGCTATGATGGGCGCGTGGATTCATTCACTGATAGAACTAGCCTGAGCCCAGGGTCCCAAATCAACGTGCTGGAAGACCCGGGCTACCTAGATCTCACACAAATAGAAGCAAGCAAACCTCACAGTGCCCAGTTTTTGCCACCAATTGAGATGTTTGGTCCTGGTGCACCAAAGAAAGCAAATTCTATTAATGAGCTAATAATGGAGAAAAAATCAGTTCAATCATCATTGCCTGAACAGAGTGGTGCTGGAGAGTTTCCCTCTTTTAATTTGGGTTCAACAGGGCAGCAGATATACAGAATGGAGAGCTTGTCTCCTGTCTGTCCTAGGTTGGAAGAGGAACAGTTCAAATTCCTGGGAAAGAGAGTTTTCAGATTGTCTCATTTACGCTATCGTTATTCAAAGAGACGGAACGGATTCAGGTTTAATCCAAAGTTGTATTCATTTATGTCTGCTCAAGAGCCTTCCCGCAAAATAGGCACTAGTCTCTCCTCACTTATTCGAAGTGGGAAGAGAACTAGGTTGTTCAGAAGTTTTCTGCCGTGGAGGCAAAATATTTGGAAAGGATATAGTGCAAACATGATGAGGAAGCTCGGAAAGAGTAACGATACTCCAGATCCAGGCCTTCCCTGGAGCTACAAAATATAAAACTTCCCCTTTAAAGTAGGCTAGCTAGCTCTCCCCCAATAAAAACACCACTGTCAGAGTAGAAACAAGGTAGACATTTCTGAAATATATGTGCTTCATTATGAAACCATGGATGGCTCAATTCTTAAATGTAAATAGATCTCTAGGAAACTCAAAGTAGTGTTTTCAATCTAAAACAAAAAGTATTGGCGGTTTCACTAGCAAAATTACACAACTGGTCCCTGTGATGTGTCTCCACACCTACATACAACTCCCACTTACTACCCCTTCACATCACTAGTGGAAGTTTGTGAGTTATTTTAGTCAGGATATCTAGTGTTAAAGTCTCAATGCAGGTGAAATCTGGTTTGATGTGCCTAATATATCTATGGAAAACTTAAAGCAGAATCAGATGTAGTTGGGGGATGTTCCTCAAAAGACTGGGGACTATGAGGGAAACCCTCCTCTCTTTTTTCATTTGGTAAAAGACTAAATAAAAGCCATATGGGTTTTAATTGGTTACAACGAAAGGAGAAAACTAGCATAAAAGTGTCATATTTTCTGACTTGTGAGGTGGTATATAATCAAAAAGACTGATTTTTTTTCCTGTAACATAAAAGATAAAAATTTTCTGAATTAAAAAGTACTTCCTAGGGCTGTGTAGCTATTTGGGAGTTTCATAACCTGTTATGGTGCTTTTGGTGGGATTTTTATTATTTGTCATTTTAGAAGACCGCTGTCAACTGGTTTTAACCTATGATGCTGTTTTTCACTGTACCTTCATCTCAGGAATAAAACTGGTTTAATGGAGATGATGTTAGGTACAAATATACTAGAATCAAGTTGCCATTTAAAAAAGAAAAATCAAATAGTATTTCTATTTTTTCTTTTTTTTCCCCCTTAACAGACAGCAAAGGCATATACTACTACAAAATAAAAAGTGGTTTTGGAGAATGAAAAATACTGGTTTTAACTTCTCTAAAATTGTTTCCCCCAAGGGAATGAAATAACTGGTGTGAAAGAGGTTGAAAGTACTGCCTAAAGTGAGCCCAGAGCCCAAGTGCAAAGGAGAAGGCAGGTAAACGGAGACTGAGGTCTATTTAGTTAGGAATGGAGAAAGCTCCACAGTCCTGCTAACATGCCACTTCAGACTGCAGAGAGGATGTCTTTCTCATTTCAATACTTACATTTGATAATTTGAAGTTGTCTGCTTTTTGCCGTTCTGTAGTTTCAAGCTACAAGCGTATCTTCAACTAAAGACAGCAAATAAACTCGTAATCAGATTCAGTCAGTGAAGCAGCTTCTGATTCTCTTGAGAATCATGAATATCACCATATGACCTCCTTCCCTCCCTTAGTCAACTGTGGAGCAGCCATGCCAATGGATAGGAGCTGCCCCTCACTCACACCACTTGGGCGGGGGGGGGCGGGACGGACCAAATGCTCTTGCCAAGAAACGTCCACTGCCTGTGTTTTTACAAAATAATACAATTACTTTATGTTCCCCAGACCCATAATGGAAACTCAGATTCCTAGGCTTTAAAACTAAAGGACCACAGCATGTTCTGGACGCCAGTGTAGCTACGGCAAATACACAAAAACTTCACTTCACCAATGATCAGATTAATCCGTACATTTTATTTTTAAGAATTTGGGTGTAAGTAGAGATTTTCAATATTTCTCGTGATTTTGAAGTCATTTATTCTTTTTCTCAAGTCTTGTGACACATGGCTGAGAAGGAGGGAATAAATGTGGCTCCGAATATAGTACCAGAATCTTTTCACCAACCTGATGTTTGACCCTCATACACGGACCTCACTCACATCTGTCATTTTCTGAAGCCTAGATCTTGTTAACAACCCATCAGATGCAGTGTCAGTTTCAAATTATCTAAGGAAACAAGAAAACAGGCAGCAGAATATTGGTACACATTATAATCCAAAGCACTTACCGAAATTAAACAGTTTTTTAAAGATTTTCTATAGTTGTCCATTGCTACTATTTTTGAGCAGAATAAAGAAGGTGAAAGGAAAGATACAAATGATAGGTTTTTTTCAGTGGGGAAAAATGGTTGGATAAAACTCAGATGAACACAGACCACACATCCTTAAGGGTCTGAATTTTGTAGATCTGACTATATAAGCAGTGTTAATTCCATTCTTCATACCAGTAGCCCTCTAGAAAACAAAGCAAAGTAGTTCTAGTGCGGTCAACTTATAAACCAATATTGTGAAAAATAGCAACTATTCATTTGTTCACAACATGCATATTTATAGAGTAGTTAGGTACCATTTGTAAGGTAAGTCCTTTAAAATTCTATAATATTAAAAAGTAGTGGTTATTGGTATGATACATGCTGCTCTTGGTTCTATAAACTAGGTAAAAAGCAGTGCTTTGTGAAATGCAGTGTTATATCTTAATGCCACTGGTGATAGAAAGTAGTTCCCTTCACTTCAAATCCTGTGCCCTTATTTGCTGCTTGCTGATGTAAGCAATAAGTACCCCTCTAACTAATGGTATCTACACATTCTGTAACTTGTATTTAATGATGGTGTATCTGGTGATTGTAAAAATATTAGACAGTATAAAAGTATATATAATATATATTAACTGTTAATGCTGAGGTAATAGTCTGTGAATTACGTGTTTTGTACTTTTACTAATTGTGTAATTTAGTGGTGGTGAAAATCCTACACTCAATCCTTAAGAGTGACGGTATCCCTTTTCCAATTTAACATGATCTGCATCAATTTGTTTGCCTGCTAAAGTGTTGTTAGAATAGGAAATAGTAAAACAAATATAAACAAGAAAGTGTAGTACTCGTTAGGGAAAAAGACTTCAAGTTACCAAATGAAGTCATTACAAACTCCTTGTACATTCACTGTGAGTTTCAAAGGGAATCAGTCCCTAACTTAAAGGTTTCCTTTGTTCACTTTCTAGATGTGTACTTTTGAGGGATATCTGAGGTTTAGCAACATTACAGCACCAAACACTGGGGCAATTAATCCCACTCATATCTGTGCTAAAGAGGATGGTGGAAACACATATGTATATACCTTTTCTTTACCTAGAAGTGCCATCCACTGTCCTTGAATTAATAAGATTAAAGTTTCCGTTGCATTTAACTAGGAGGATCCTTGAAAGTAACATCTTTTCCAAGGACAATGTCAACAATGTTAATGTCAACACTGAGTCTGATTCTGACCACATTTATAGTGGTATAATGTCAACGTGGTGGTATAGTGTCACGCCGCATCTTCATGACAACCATACTCCATTGTTGGAACACTGTGCCAGTAAGAAGTGCAACATCTGATGGGCAGATGAAAATGATGCATAAGGAAGTTCAGTGTTTACAGATAAAACTGCTGTGGTTCAAGTACTTCCTTCCCCATCAAAGGCTTGCCAAGGCTTTGTGAGAAAGTGATTTGTAAATTATTATTTTAGTGTTTAAATACAATGTATTCACTTGATGACCATTCTCACCTACGCAAGGCCATAAAGGGGGATGCTATAGCTTTGGTCACATCATCGTTTCGGACAATTTTTCTTTGAATCATAAATTAGCAAAAGAACATACTTTTTTCACCTTTTAAAATCCTGTCATGTTAATGGACAAATTACTCACCCTTCTGTTCTAACCTGTGAATAGCCTAAATGTTTTTTTTTTTTTCAAAATAAGATACCGCCAGTATTATCACATGACTATTTTCCAGACAAATGGTACTGTTTTGAAAAATAATTGTTACTTCATCTAGCAGCATTTTATCTTCTATTTTGAAGACTATTTATTGTACCAATTAGAAAAAAGCAAATAAAAACAGGAACTCCAGACTGATACAGCAGTTGTTCTGGAAAAGGAAATACTCTAATAAACTCTGATGTACGAGATAATCCACAGATACATCATTGTTAACTCTTACTCTAGGTGCTCTTTGGTGAGAGACAGGCTTTGTTCCCTTGTTCATGACATTTCTCTGCAAAGAATTCTCTATGGAGTGAAGCGAATGAAGTGAATCATTTCTTACCAAGTATATTTATTAATTTACAGACCTGCTCTACAGCTCACTTTTGAGTTCAGTTGTAATCATGAGTGATCCTTCATATTTTATTTATTAAAACTGTTCATTCAGGTAAGATGTATGTTGAAATTTTGCCAATACCTTAATAAAACCCAGCAATTTAAAACCACGAGTCATTTTTTTTTTATTCAAAGGAAAGATAATTTACTTAGTGCTAAGGTTAATTATTGCAATGATGAAACTCAAACCAAGCACAACTCCTAACCTAGATTAATTCAGACTCTGCAATGCAAGTCTAAGCCAGAGGAAAGACCTGCCCATTTTCAGGTGTAAAAACAATTCAAACGATCTACTGCCCTACACAAGATGTCACTTTCAACAAAATATATAAAGCCATATGAAAACAAAAAATGTGTTCTGAAGACTGAAGACTCCAGAAGACATCAGAACCCAGACTCCAACCCTTAATAGCCAGAGCAATCTCGAGAAACAACAAAGCTGGAAGTATCACAATCCCAGATTTCAAGATATACTCTAAAGCTGTAGTAATCAAAACAGTATGGTACGGGCACAAAAACAGACCTAGTCATCAGTGGAACAGAATAGAGAGAGCCCAGAAACCCACAAGGTCAACCTATGACGAAGGGTAAAAGTACACAAGAGGGATAAGTCAGTCTCTTCAGTAAATGGTGGTAGGAAAAATGGACCACACTCTTAACGTGATATGCAAAAATAAACTCAAAATGGATGAAATACCTAAATGTGAGACCTGAAACCAAAAATGATTTCATTTATATGTGGAATCTAAAAAACAAAAAGCAGAAACAGACCCATAGATACAGAGAACTGATGGCTGCCAGAGGAGAAGGTAGTAGGGGCATGGGTGAAAGGGAGTGGGAGATACAGGCTTCCAGTTAAGGAATGAATAAGTCACAGGAACAAAAGGTACAGCATAAGTAATACAATCAGTTTTGGTATTGTAATAGTGTTTTATGGTGACAGATGGTAGCTGTCACTTGGGGGCATTGCATACTGTATACAGATGTTGAATCACTATGTTGTGTATCAATTATAAGTCAAAGAAAAAATACACAACTCTGAAAAAAAAAACCAAAAAAGAACCAGATTCTGTTATGAAAATGGTGGACAACATATGCAAGATCTTATGGGTGATTTCAGCAAAGAGAAACTATAAATAGAAATGCTAGAAATGGAAAATAACAAAGATGATGAATGCTTTGGATTGGCTAATCAGTGGACTGTATGTGGCCAAGGAGAGAATCACCTAAAACTAAGATAAATCAACGTAAATTACCCTAATTGAAAAAGGCGTGTGCATGCACATGTGTGCACAGATACACAGTGAAGGGAAAACAAAGACACACTCAGAACAGAACATATAAGAGCTGTGGAACAATATCAGCCTAACATATGCATAACTGGAATCCTAGAAGGAGCAGAGAAAGAGAACTGGGCAGAAGGAATATTTGAATGATGGCCGAGAATTTCTGAAAATTTAATGACCTCAAACTGTAGATCTCGGAACCTTAGAGAATACAGAGCAGGAAAAATACCAAAAACACACACCTAGGAAAAAGAAATCTCTTCCAGATGGTTTCACTGGTAAATTCTACCAAATATTTTAAAAATAACACATTCTATACATTCTCTTCAGAAAAAGATTTTGTAAGGTCAGCATTACTCTGATACCAAATCAGATGAAGACAGAAAAACTAAACTATAGACCAATATCCCTCATGAATATAGGTGGCAGAAATCCTCAGCAAAATATCAGCAAAACCAGTATCACTTATTAGATAAAAATAAAAAAATGCTGACAGTAGCAAGTGTTTATAGGATGCAGCTAGAACCCTCAAAATTTGCTGCTGGTGATGTAAAATGGCAGTGCCACGTCTAGAAAAGTTCACCAGTTTCTTATAAAGTGAAGCAGTACGTACCACATAACTCACTGAGATGATTTCTGACATTAACTACCTGGAGTCAGGCCAAATTTCACAGTTTAAGGGCAAAGTCCTCT